GCGACGAATTTTTATTAATACTTAATTGTTGTCACTGTCAATATTTTTGTCCATTTTATTACAATACATGCGAATAATTCAATAAAATACTTGGAAAAACATTTGTTTTGACATTTGATGTACCTCCCTTTAGCAACCGTATCATGTACCTCATGTACTGCGAAATGGACACGGTTGGCATTTAAGATGATGTTACGTATTTTTCCCGTGTTTGACACAGACCAATGTAATGCTATCTCTTTTGTCTTAAGACGGCACGCAAACAAAGACAATAAATTATTTATGTTTTCAACGTCGAAATGCATCGTATACATATAACGTCTGATTTATATGTATATGTCAACATAACATGTCCTTTAGTTTCCATAGTCTAAAATTGTACCTATTATTATTTTTCTTTTTGTTTGACATTGCATTTTTTAAATTTAATTGGCTACGTATGCCATTTTGGCTTATAGCAGAGGTTCCATAAAATTATTATTCCCATCTATACTATGTAATAACGAATGAATAAATGATTTAATTGAATTGAAGCCTACATGTTGAAGAAGTTTCTCAGTCCTTGGAAAACAGTCCCCAACCGGTATTGCGCAGTTTATGGCCTAAATACCTTCTCAGCTGAGGGTCGTGTGATAGGTTGACGATGTTCTCGTTGTTGTTTTTATTTTTTGTATGTGAAGATAAAAAAATATTATTGTTAATACAAAGACCGAACGACCGGATGCGAACCGACGTCTCCGAGCAAACCATGTCAGACGCTAACCAGCTAAGCCACGGAACGAACCACCGGACCTCACGAATTTTTCTATGTGCTTGTTGTCTGATCTTTGTATTTGATTTTCAACGACTTTTTATGCGTATTTTTCACTCATTTAGATACTTATACCTCTACCAGCCCTGACTAGAGATGTTCCTATTAACTGTAATTATACAGCCTTACTTATAAATACTATTTAACTTTAAATAACGCTTCAAACAATGTTTAAAAAAAATTCTTACCTGTAAAAATTAATTAGTGCTAAATGATTGATTTATTTGTTGTTTAAATAGCTGTCAACGTAAACACCCTAGGAACCTTGTTTAACTCGCTAACTAACAAGATGGCTGACATTAATCAGCTGTTAGCAGGTTAGAAAACGTCAATGAGTTATGCAGATTTCTTAGGTTTGCACGATTGTTACGAAACTGACGTTTTGGGCCCTTTACAGGTTCCATGGTCACGGTTAACTGAGGTGGTACAGTCTTCAACCAGTTATAGTCATAACAGTTCTTAAGCAGATTTGTTTTGATTTTTATTGTGAGAAAATTTTTACTTCAATTGTGAAAAAATGGAAAATATTCGGCATGATATAGCAGATTTGCGGTACTTTAGACGAAGGCACGCAAAGTACAAGAAACGATACGATCCATTGCTCTAGTTAGACGAACATGAATTTAGGAAACGATATCGTTTTTCCAAAGACAATATTATGTTAAAGATAATAAATAGACAATGAGTTTGTTAGTTCTTTTTTCTTTGATTCAATTTTTAGATTTTCGCGCCCAATGTTAAATGACAGCCGTCTGACAACATTTCTTCTGTTTTTTATTTTCTATAGCTATTTTTAACGGTTTAATCTTCTAATGTTGCCATGGCAATTATTTTTTCCTCATTAAACATTACTTAACTAAGCAGTGTTTGAATTTTTTTTTTTAGGTAATAGAAAGTTTAATAGTGCTTAAAATCTTAAATAATACTTAACTAAATATTGATTAAACGGATGTTTAGTTGTTTTTTGTTAGTAAGGCTATAATTTTTTTAAATTGATATTCAATAATTTTTTGTGAAATTACTTCACTAGTTTGTTATAATTATTAATACAAAGATTGAACACGTAGAAAAAATTCCTTCGATCCTTTGTATTAATCTGTATTAATCTAACTACTTCCTTTGTATTACAAACTAGTGGAGTAATTTCACAAAAGATAATTGAATATCAATTCAATAAAAAAAAATTAGAAACAAAATATTACGAACTTGAATTTTTTTGGACGACTATTTTTTCTTTGTAGGAATTGGTCCTATAGGGATATCATTTAAGAAGGCGAATATGTTTTGAAATATTTTTAACGTGTAGGAAATTAGTTTTTAAGCACGTTAAGGTTTTGAAATTAATTCGTAAAGTTGTGTTAGTAGTTTTAATTTATTTTTATCATTGTTATTCTTAGTGTTTTGGATAAGCTCTGTGAACCCACTTGCAGTATTGTATAAATAAATAAATAAGTCACGCAGGTGCTTTCAGCTAGGATATGGTATGGTAATGCTTGCCTTTCTATAATCAAAATAATTTCCTATACTGTATTACTCGAAGAAAAGCAAAAGAAGTAGTGAAACTTGTTAATTACACATCTGATAGACATTCGTGACCCGGTTTTGATCGACTGCCGATATGATAGCACGCAACGGTTACGTTACGTGTGAACAGAGATTGTGATTTCACTGTGCGCTGAGATTGAAGCGTGTGCGCAGGCCTTAGTAGGAAACGATTTGTTCAAATTGCAGTGGCATGCTTGTAGCATGTTTATTTTAATCTAGAGTGCAGCTACTTTTATGGTCTGTCTTTTTTGAAGATGAATTACATTTACAGGGTTGCCAGTTTTCATAAAACTTTAAATAGTCAAGTAGTTGTTGTCGACAGTTTTATCGATAGATTGTGAAAGAATGTAACATTTTGTCAAAAATGTCTGAATTGTGAATGTTACGACGTTCTAATGATTACTAATTCCGTTATTGCCTTCATTATTCCTATTTTGATAGTTGACCTGGTAGCATCGAAACAATTTTAATTCCTGTACATTTTAATAAGTACAGGCGGATTTGATTTAAATTAAAATATATTAAATTAAAATGAAGCTTTGAAATATATCTTTTCTTTGTATTTTAATAGACAGTTCTAAATGCTGTGTATGGATTGGATCTGTGTCCAGCAGGTGGACCAATAATGGGCCGATGATTCAAATGATTCGGCTATTTATAGCATAAGCGTGATGTAATTCAGTCGATAGTCGATAGAATATTTATCAATTGCAATCACTACCAGTTTGTTATCGGGCAACACTTTTGCGCAATTAAATCGACTCATCCGAAGAACAGAGTCCGATGTGATTATATAGCGAAAAGAGAATAAGGATGTTACAAGAATAATTTCGTTATTCAAACTAAAGCCTATGCTAAGGTGTTTTGATAATTTATATACCTTATTTCGTTTCGGAAATATAAAATTGAACAACGGTCGCTCTGACTTCCACAGCGAAGAAGGAACGAACGAAATGTACAATTTCCTGAGAACAAGTAGTCTTGCACATAGATCTTTGTTCTACGGATGAGTCGAAATATCAATTTACTCCTTCTTCAAAAAATATGAATTTTATATTTAGCGAGTGTAAAAAACAATGCCAGATCTGTTACATTTTAGTAGAAATGTATATACGTTGTAAATGGGTATGTAACGTTCTTACTAATGTGACCAAAAAAGATTTTAAAGATTCTTGTTTACTTTACCTATTTCTGCCGTAAAGCAGTAATGTGAGCATTACTGCTTTCCGATTTTGGAGGGTAAGGGTGCTGGTGAAATTAGACTAGTTAACATGGCACTTGTTAACTTATGGCAGTGGTAGAGCACCTCAGATCTTTGCGGTCTATAGCTGTGAGTGGCACTGCAACTGCTGTGGACAGGCGTGTCACTTACCACCAGGCACTCGCATTGTTCGTTCCGTCACTCGGTGTCATAAAAAAGTTTTATGTTTCCAAGTACTAAAAAACCAGAGAAAAAAATACTTTCAGTTCCTTAGACATTTTTACGAGCTTTAGTATTGCAACTATTAATAGGGTGTAGGGGTTCATGTTTTCACAATAATAATATTGAGCTCATCAATATTTATTGGGAAATTAAAAAGTAATATTAAGTTTTTACTGAATATCACAATATCAAATTTTACTACCATGATACTCATTTTTTTTAAATTACTACACTAGTTTGTTATAATTATTATTAATACAAAGATTCAAAAACAGTTTCTTCAGCATACTATAAGAAAAAATTTAAGGCGTTGGTTTGAATCCAGCTGGATCGATGGAATTTTCCTTAATGTTCGATCTTTGTATTAATAATTATAAATTCAATGTATTTTGTAAAAAAAATTAATCTAACTAAGTCTAAATTGATCCAATAAGTAACATAGTGGTTTGCTTTTACAAAGTAATGGACATTCTAGTTCAAGATACATTTTGAGAAAACTCATTGGAATGGATGATTTACACAAATTAAGTATAAAAATAAAAGTATAAAGATGTCGTGGTATATTTAATGTACCATTTGTCAACATTGAACTCGTAAAGCGTTACACTTCTACTTAACACTCAAATTCAAATCTTTATTTCGGAGGTAAGTAATTACACTTGAAATCGTGATAGATACCCCCGAGAAGAATGATCATGAAACTCTAGGGGTTGCTCGTTGTAAATATACATTTGAATACATTTATCAATAATATTTATTTTAAACATCTTAGATCAAGAATATCTATGAATAGGGCTAGCACTATAGGACGCGACTGGCGCGAGTGCGACATAGAAGCGCGTGATATTGTTATTCTCTATACGAAAATAGCTGTATTTCGTGCTTTATGTTGCTCTCGCGCAAGTCGTGCTAGCCCTACTGCAAGAGCTAAACGGGTCAATTCTACGAATTTTTGGCATCCTAGTACACAGAAGCTGTATGATAACGTTTGTCATAAAGTTTTTATTTTACTATAGTTTTAAACTTTGTAAAAAACACTTATTACACGTTAGTTATGGTAACAAAGATTGAAATGTTATTATTTTATTATATGCATCATAATTTTCCAGCCGTGGTAACCGTCATGGCGATGCTGATATTCTCATTTTAAAAATACTGTAATAACCCTATATGCTTGCTTTACAAAAAAAGTTTTAATAATTATTTTTTCTTTGCCCACAGGAAAACACCTAGTATTCTCAAAGGACCCGGAATCAGTGAAAGACGAGTTCGCGTTCGACAATCCTGGCTTCCGTCAGGAAGAAAGAACAGCGTGGCAGCATGACGCACCGACGTTGCCTCTCGGAGGAAAGACACATGCTCTGCATGCGGAGTTTACAAAACCGGAGCAGAGTAAAGACGACTCACACATACACGTTAGTAATACTTTCTATTGTATGATTACCGGTTATGAAAATATGTCTATACTTCTATCATAAGTTGCTAACGATTGCGTTATGCACTGAACAATTTTGAATGGTAATGGCCAGAACCTTTTGAGAGTCGACACTGTAAAGTCACGCTTGAGGTATTTGGTGTCAAAGAAAAATGAAGAGAGGGAAGGATTGTAGCGTCTCGTATGTAACGTTATTTCGAGTTTTATCCTTCAGAGAAACTCCGATCTCGTTCCATAGTGCAACACATTATAAATAGGTACAAACTAAATTACATAGGTTATAAAGTTTACTTTCAGACAATAGTGATGGCAAATAAAAAGGTCTGTACCTAGGTCCGCGTAATAGCGAAATGTTTTACAGCGTGATGATATTTGATTACAATCCAATCTATTAGTTAATGGGGTCATACACTCGATAACCTTTAATTTAATTATTAAAAAAAATTACAACAAGGTAACATTACCTCGTACAGTAGTATTCAGTCATATTTCTCGTTCGTCACACAATACGATACCTTCAATGAACACTAAGCCAACTTAATTTTTGGACCTGCTCTGTTTTTATTTTGTTTTTTGTTTCTTTTTTTTACAAAATTCGTTTTTTTTGTTCTTGTTTCTTTTTTTCACAAAATTCGGGGAGCACAATTGAGATTATATTTATATTAAGCAGCCATACTTACTAAGGCAAATAAATATGGCTGTTTACAAAAATAACAGAAGATGACCAAAAAATAAAGATGGCGTAGTGTTCATTGGAGGTATCGAATAGTTTTATTTTCGACATCATCCAGAGACGAACAGAATTTATAGAATGTAAATAACATGTTTTTGGAGAAATAATCCAACAGCTTGACTAAATGGTAAGCAGAATACATTTTAAGTAATGGAGATTATTGTTAATACAGCAAAACTGCAATTTAAACTCGAGGATGATATTACCTGGAATTTTATTCTGGCGTTTTGAGCGCTAAAGTTTTTTAGCAGCTGTATCTTACTTGCTGTAATAAACTACACGGTAACAGTTGGTTTGAATTAAAAAGGTAAGATCAATTTCGAAAAATATTGTCATTAACCCAATTGCCAATGTTTAATACACATATTTATTTTTTTATAATATCAAATGACGTGACGAACAAGTCCTGTGCCTGACGGTAAGCTCGCCTGCCCATAACTGTTGCAGTGCCACTCAGCTCTTTAAATCGCAAAGATCTGAGGCGCACTGCCACTGCGCCAGTCACCCTGAGATGTAAGTTGACAAGTCCCATGTGCCTATAATTTCATCAGCACCATTACTTACTTACTGCTTGGTGGCGGAAATAGCTAAGGTGGCAGTACTTCCCTGGACGAACACTTTAACAACTCTTTCTCTACTGCCACTAATGTAGGGTAGACATTGATAACACAGTCTTCTTTTATCTCGGCGCAAACTATGCATTGTATATTATGTGATTCTTCTTACAAATATTTGACGACCTCTGTGATCGAGTGGTTTGCATATCGGTTCGCTATCTTTAAAGTCTCGGGTTCGATCCCCGGCCGGGTCAATGGCAGGATTTACACAGTAATGTGCACCCTTATTGAGAATCCACAGGGTGGGTGTTGCGTGGAGTAAATACCCGGTTAAAAACCGGGAGGGTTGATTGGGTTTTAACCATTTAACTCACTGCACATCTCTGATAGCGCTACATAGCGCGTCTAGCTAGGTATCGCATATAGGAGACGCAGCCGCTCTTGTTAATATCGTAACTGACTGGGAAAGTGGGAACCATGGCGAGGCATTCATATCATTCTTGAACCTTTTTTGAGCAATCACTGCATATTTCTAGATCAATTTACCACGGAATGCAGATCGGCTCGTGGTTATTGTCCTAACGCGTTTCAACCGGACTGAACTGGTTTTTACTGGATATAACTGGTATGCTAGGCTAGATCTTGAATTATAAGCGACTTGATAGTTGCGGTTTGTTATCTCTTTCCCTCGTTGTAATGTAGAAATTAAAATAAGAACAGACTCACTGTATCGAGTTTGAAGGTTTTCGCGATTATTACATATTGGAAATGAAACTGTTTTTTAACCGACTTCAGAAATGGAAGAGGTTCCGCGATAACTCCGGTATTTGTGAACCGATTTTCATGATTCTTTTTTTTGTTGGAAAGGGGGTACTTTCATAGTGGTCCCATTTAATTTTAAAGAAAATCATCCACCTCTAAGGGTGGCTGTTCACGAATGAAGATTCATTTTTATAAATAGCGCCTAAATTTTACTTAAAGAGCAATTTATATATTATCTAGTGTAAATATTTTTATATATACCAAGCCTCACGCACATGTTACGCATGCATTTGTTTTGTTTATGCTCGAGTCCGTGCTTCACTCGTATCGGGTTTGCTGAAAACCAGCGCTCCAGGCTGAAATCTATCAGCCTGTAGCTAATAGCTGAGCAAATCCCGTTTGCGTGCGCCGCGACACGTATTTATTATTACATTTTTAATTATTTTTTTTTATTATTTTTATTTTTATTTTGTTTTAATCATTATAATTATGTTTTAACTTTTGTTGTAGGTACTGTATTTTAGTTTAAAGTTTATAATAATGTATTAATTTTAAGATCATGTGTGTCTCGGTGCTTACGCAATAAACTATTCTTATTCTTATTCTTATTCTTATTCAATTATTTTAAAGGTTGATTTTGCTATTTCTCCAATTCGAGGCGTTTTTCTCTCAATATACTTTGAGTAGTGAGAACCGATTTTTTATTATATCCAGTGTCGAGTCCTGTATAGTGGCGAACTAGGGGATATTTCAATAAAAATTAGCAAATAAATAAATAAATAATAAATAAATAACGCACACACTCAACATAGCCCCGCACTAGGGAAACCCTGTGTCGCGGGTGCCATGGACACACATATAGACAACCACAAATTACACCCAAACTCACGAGAGAAATAAATGTAGGCCATACAAACATTTCTCCCGGCCCGGGAATCGAACCTGGGACCTCTGCGTGGCAGTCCGGCATGGTAACCGTTCGGCCACGGAGGCAGTTAATAAATACAGTTAATAATAAAAAAAAAAAAATAAACGTAATTCCACGTACTTTTGAGGTCGGTTTTTAGTTTTTAGTACAGAGTTGTACTGAGACTATTATTTGGATCAAAATCGCGTATATTTTGGTTTTACAAACAAACCAACATTTCGGGCCCTTTACAAATCCCATGGTCAAGGTTGACTGAGGTGGTAAACTCATCAACCAGTTATATCCAATATTAATGCAAGCCACCCTATTTTTCACTATAGTTATAAAAGTTATTCATTAGTATTCCCATTTACGTTACATATGTACGTGTTACAAATTATTTTATTTTATTTTAACAATGTGAATTTTTATTAAAAAAAATTAAATTATAATTAAATTCAATAAAAAGTAGAAAATAGTTTTATTTCCCATGAAATATGCTAGATTCATAAAATTACTTTCAATGTTTTCGCTCTATTTGATACGTTAACAATCATTTCGATACCGCCAATTACGCCAATAAAATTTTTTGGTCATCTCTGTTTTTATGTTGTTTTTTCTTTATTTATTTTGACAAAATTCGTTTTTTTGGTTCAAATTCATTTATTCCAAAATTTACAAAATGCATTTATGAACAATAATAAAATGTATAACCTAAAGATCAGCACAAGGCTTCGTCAATAGGTAATCTAATACAAAAAAAGTGAGATTCACGTTAAATATACTTCATTTAAAAAGAAATCCCGCCCTGTATCGTGCCCGGGGCAAAAGTTCCCATTATACTGGCAGCATTGCCTCGCTGGACAGCAATGGACACCTGCTGAACCAACCACGACCCAGAGCGGTGATCGCAGCCCCTGTCTCTGAGTCGGCGACCCAACTCTTTAAATAGGTCCCGAGCTTCCGAACCCCAAGGCCCCGCCGTCTCGACCGCGACCGGTACAAAGTCGTACACAGGCTCCAAGGCAGAATATTTCGAGTGTTTTAGTTTCGCGGCACTTTCCGCCGCGGAACCCGCCATCTGCGAAGTTTGTTTTATGTGGGACGCAGCAAAAGTAGAAGAAGAAGACGAGCGCCACATGAGCCGATAGATGCGACAAATGTGCCCGTGCAGCTAAAAGTGCCAGTCTTTTTGTTCAGGAGATGGCAAAACTTTCTATTTATTTTAAATTTCTTATCAACAGTGTTAATTTGGATAAAAAGTCCTAAATAAGTAAGTAAATAAAGTAATGACTTTAAGAATAGGTAAAAGCTAGTGCGTAAATATGATGAGAAATCAGCTTGCAACATTTGTGTGTACAATCCATTTTTTGCATATCAGGAACTTCGTGCTTTAAGATACGAGTTTGACAAAGTAAGGCGACAATATGTCTTTTATTAATTTGTATAATATGTAATATATCTAATTGAAACACGCCAAGTGCAGGTCTTGGAACCGATGTACGATTTTGTGCCAATTGCAGTGGAGACTGCAGGGATTTGGGGTACGGAGTCCAAGGAATTCATCAGGGAATTGGGTCGTCGGTTTAGAGATAGAGGGTGTGATCCACGCTTTGGATCTTACTTAGTGCAACAAATTTCTTTGGCCATTCAGCGTGGTAATGCTGCCAGTGTTATGGTAATGTTTAAACCAGCTAAGATTCAGAGCGGTCCTTTCTCATATGTTTCTCACTGTTATAGTTAGATGCAAATAACTAAGACCTACGAAATGCATTATTAATTTTCATGTGACTAAAGCCTGTTGCTGATTTATATTTGTGTCTACCTGAAAAAGCCTACATTACGGATTGACTGTAATTAGCTTAGTTTTTGTGTGAATAACTTTATAGCTTAAAAAAATTGTAAAAATCATTAAATAAACATAAATTGATAATACAAAATGTATATAGAAACATAAAGAGATTAAACATAAATGAAATGTTGCCCTAAATTGGCATCATAGACACCGTTTCGAGTCCGAGATCTTTGTATTAATAATTATTACAAACTATTAGAGTAATTTCACAAAAATAATAATAATAATAACGCACACACTCGACATAGCCCCGCACTAGGGAAACCCTGTGTCGCGGGTGCCATGGACACACGAATAGACAATTACAAATTACACCCAAACTCACGAGACAAATAAATGTAGGCCATACAAATATTTCTCCCGGCCCGGGAATCGAACCTGGGACCTCTGCATGGCAGTCAGGCATGGTAACCGTTCGGCCACGGAGGCAGTTGAAAAATGAATGAATATCTTTTTTTATATATATATTACCAAGTGACGGGACGAACAAGTCGTGCGCGTAATAGTAAGCCACACGCCTGCCCATAACAGTTGCAGTGTTACTCAGAGCTTTAAATCATAAAGATCTGGGGGCACCGCCACTGCGGCCGTCACCCTGAAACATAAGTTGACAAAGTCTCATGTGCCTGTAATTTCCCCAGCACCCTTACCTTTCACAACCGGAACACAGTAATGTGACCATTACTGCTTGGCGGTAGAAATAGGTAAGGTAATTGTGGTAGTAAAACATCATAGATATATTCATTACCATCAATACAAATGAAATATTTAAAGTTTATGTTTGGTTATATTTGTTTCAGTTGTTAATCGGGCACTGAACTAAAACGTCACTATGGGATAATTATGGCAACATTATTTTTCAAATTGACATTAGTAGCTGTGAGTTTGTTATCTTTTATATTTTTCGAGTCAAGTTCGACTACAAGTTCACGAGCATAAGAGTGCTTCTCCACCGACGAGGTGAGACGGTAATTGGTATCTTCCCGGCCAATTTCCTTCAAAAATTTCCATTAATAACTATGATAACTCGCGATGGCTATTAATATCCGTACGGTGCAATATGACATCAACAAATATTTCAATTCTCGTCTCGCACATCCTCGTCAATTCAGACCATTTCCACCGAAGGTGTGCTAGGACAGAATTGAAATTTTGCCATACAAATTTCAATCCTCGTCTCGCCTCGCCGGTGGAAAAGCACCTTAAAAGGAGTGAATAAATTGTGCGTTTCAATGATACATTTTTTGCGATGTAACGTACGACAGCACATAATATTAAAAGCAATGAATGACTAATAGTTTATTGAGAACAATTTTTTTACACCAAGTTTTTTTTCGTCTGGTGGTCACAGATTGACGTCGATAAGAATAGGTTCACACGGATGCGTTTAAAGGTACGCCTACATTTAGTTCTTCAAGGTCTTTTGTAATACCTATTTTAAGATACTTTGTACTAAAAGACTAAAAAAAAAACAAGGTTGAACCTTACGTGTAACAGGCCGCTTTGTTAAACTTGTCATTTGATAATTTTTTGGTATGATGGTTATTGAAATAGTATGGTAGATTTGTAGGTAAAACTATTTTATACAACAAAAACAATATTTTTTCTATGGTTAGCGTTTCAAAATCTATTGAAAATAGATTGTGAAATAAAAGTAAGAAAGTAAAGAAACATTGACTCGGCTATTCACAAATAATATTAATATAATATACGAACTAAAACAAAATCTGTTTTAAAAACAAAAAGATGATAATTAATAGATTAAAAACTAAAGTACACAATAATAGCCGAAAAGGTTAGCCAGCTCAGCTTTAAGCTGGGCAGAGCCTCAGCGCTGGTTTTCAGTTGGAACCTAAGAGGAGGTAGGTGGTTTCAAATACATGTGGTTTCACATACAATGTTAAAAAAAACATTTGTATGTTAAGTATTTGAAACCACCTACCTTCTACCTAGGTTTCAAATACTTAAAATACAAATACTAATTCAAAACGAGAATATAATTAGAATTATAAATTATTGTATAAATGTGCATTGTTCTCTTAATAGGTTATAATATCAATACGTTACAATATAAAAACTAAGAAATTTTCATAACAATAATGTCTGAGAAATGATTGAAATAAACAATGACTGATTAATAATAATTGTAATAAATTGTAAATATAAATTAAAGTATAATTTTAAATTACATGGAAGCTGTCGCCGTTTATCCATGGTATTAAAGTTATTTCTTTAATTTTTCTACGGAAGCCCGATACAGTTGATCGCAAACTTTCTTTATTCGCTAGCGTAGACCTGAAGAAGTCTCTTCTAGAGGTAAGCTCACTTTTCTTCTCTTAACGCGCCTTAATTGCACCCCCTGTGACCCTGTTGACTTGTTGTGTATGACAACGAGTGAATATAGGACGTTTCGGCACATTTAGGATCCGCCATATTGAATTTTTGGTGGCGATCATGTCATGTGCTCGATGTTATAAGCTAATTGTTGTCGCATTTCCAGAGTCAACAAGGCTCTTAAAGGCCTGTGTTGCAAATGTCACCACACATTGCAAAGGGCACCACCTTAATAATAATAATAACAATTTATTGTCTCGTTCACGGATGTGGTATGTGGTTTCGTTATAATATTATAACGAGATTATGTGGTCTCGTTATAATATTATAACGTTATAATATTATAACGTTATAATATTATAACGAGACCACATACCAAAATATTTTTCTTAAAATGAAATTTAGAGAAATATGAATTTGAAACGAAAGGCAGAGACTCAGCTCATGCTGGCACAGTGATGTGTACTGTTTTTCAGCCTCTTCCTATGTTTTTGAGTGGGAATTGTGTCAACGAGGGTTGATGAATACTCTCATACAATCTAAAAACATGTATTAACTGCCTCTCTGGTCGAACGGTTACCATCCTGGACTGCCACGCAGAGGTCCCGACATTTATTTCTCTCGTGAGTTTGGGTGTAATTTCTAGTACGTGTGTGTTCATGGTACCCGCGACACAGGGTTCCCCTAGTGCGGGGCTACGAGTGTGTGCGTTATTATAATGTGTGTGTGTACATTCACGCGGCACCTTAACGTGGCATTGCATTCTTTCGAAATTTTATGTTTTACTTTATATGTGTATTGTTTTGCTCCTCAGCGCGCTCGAGTAAGACGCGTGAAGCTATGGGCTCGTGACTTCACGGGTCTGGGCCTGCGGTGCGGTGGCGGAGCGCGAGAGGGAGTGCATGTCCACTCCGTGCTGAGGAGTGGCCCGGCAGCCGCTGCTAAATTACAGCCAGGTAAATACAACACCATCACTAGTTGACGGATAAAACTGTCTTATCTTCAGGCCACACAGAGGCGCCCGCGGAAGCGTTCCGGGCGCAGGAATTTTTGTAATGTACGGATTCATATGAACCCTACCGACCGACGCTTTCGAATCAGTCTCTTCGAGCAAACCGTGCTTGACGCTTTGCCAACTAAGCCACGGAACGAACATTACGAATTTTTCATTATGAATTTGGTCCTGTTACAGATATGTGTTTTTGGTTTTTAACGACTTTTTTACCGTAGCGCTAGATCCGGAGCCGGATCGAAGACTTTTCTTAGGGTCGTATTCTAGAACTCTACTCTATGCTCGAGTCAGGATTACACTGGAAACACAAGCACTGGAAATACGACTCTAATGGCAAGGACTTTGGTATGATTTCTAGTGCTTTGAATTATACTCAAATCCTGACTTGAGCATTGAGTAGAGTTCTAGAATACGATCCTTAGTGTTTGATCTTTGCATTAATTATAGTTTTAATATTCTTTGTAGGTAAACTCAGGGATTATCTTTAAGTTACGACGAGAAATATTTTCCACTTTGTAAATAATATCCTCTAACAAAGTTATGACTCCATCAAGACAAATAAATATCGACGATGATCTCATAGTTTATGTTGTAGGTTTATATCGGCCTGTAGATTTTCCTCTTATGCAGATGAACTACAGCTTTGCAAATAAATGTATTAAACAAAAAGTATTTTCTCAGAATCGTTGAAAAATGAATGATTGACTTCCCGTGAAAGATCATTAAAATTTATACATAGGTTAAGGTTTATTACACATGTCTAAACAATTTCGCACTTGCGCAAATACATTTCAAAATAAAAGAAAAAATAATTTCCTATTTTTGAATGAGGACTGTTTCGACCAGCGATAGCTTACAGAAAGTGTGTCCCGTTTTGAGTTAAGTAGATATCTTTTATTTGTTTCTCACAAAATTCTAAATACGGTTTTATTGACATGTAGATAATAAAATTTTACGTTCAATAATGATAGAATCTTGAATTTTACATATTTTGAGTTACAACATTGCTGTAATACCAGTGCGATATGTTGCTCTAATCCCAGAGTAAGTAAGTCTCTAAGACACTTGTGTTATGGAAATCGGAAACAACGACGGTATCACAAACACCCAGACTCGAGACAATAGAAAAAAGTTAGTTTTCCTACATTGACCCGGCCGGGGATCGAAACCGCGATCACAGATCAATTAATCAAATTTTTAATATTGTGAAATTGTTGCTGCGTTATATATATCCCATAGACATCGATCGATGATCGAAGGCCGTATGTCATAAAACTGTGAAAGTAGCTGAACTGAACCAAAGTAGCGATATCTACGTCTGAAAGGCTTCGTATTTTTTTAATCGCATACACTGCAGTGCAGAGTTGAGCCCTTTCTATAATTTAGAGAATAGCGAGAGAGAGAGAGAGAGAGACAATAATAAACATTTTATACTATATTCACGATCACTTTGTGATTGGTGTTTTCATCTACGACAACGTCAATTTTTAGTGAAACACAATTTCAAAATTTCAGGTGACAAAATCAAGAGCATCAAAATCGAGTTCACCGCTACACCGCTAGAGGATGCTGTTGCTATACTATCGCTGGCTTCCCCTTACCCGGTGGAATTGGAGATAGTAGAAGGTGGCAGGGCAAGCGGTGCGGGGAGAGGAGTGCACCATCCTTTGTTGAAGAGAGCTGGGTCTACAGGCGATGTTAATACGGTAAGGAAGTAGTTCTTGCCATTCGTCGATAGATGGCGCTTGTTTTTATTATAATCGATAAGGAATTTAAATCAAACAAACATTAATGTTAATAAAATAAGGCATAGCTTTCTTTGAGTGATCGGTGAGTTGATGTTAAAGATTAAATTCTTAATGAATGCCAAGTTTAAGGTTTACTAATTGAATCTTATTTAAACTTGCAAAATAGACTCGGCTTTTAATTCTTAAAATCATCTATATTTAGGAAATGAAACTATTATTCCGGATTTAAATCGCGTATATTTGTTTTTTCAAACAAACCGACGTTTCGGGCCCTTTACAGGTCCCATGGTCACGGTTGACTGCGGTGGTACAGTCTTCAACCAGTAATGTCTAATATTAATGCAAACCACCCTATTTTTTCACTATAGTTACAATAGTTATTAATTAAATACCGTATTTTTAATTTTACAAAGAAAACATTCCAATTTACGCTACATTAAGTTTTACAAATTATTTTATTGAATGAATTTTTATTAAGTTTAATTTATTATTAATTATTAATAGAAGTTAGAATAAAGTAAAACATATTAATTAGTACTGCAGTCTTATGTCTGTTTGGGATTTTTCATTAGAGGAAATACTGGATCCCACACTGGTGGTACGGAGAAACCATCTTCCCTGTTGAAATTAGGATGTTTTTTAATTTCAATGGCCTCTCGCAGCATCCTGGGTAGATAACGGACTTCTTTTGCAAGGACCTGGGGTTTGTCAAACTTCATTGAATGTGTAGGTTTATCCATAACATGCTCGCAGACTGCAGACTTGTTTACGCGTCGGTGTTTGACATCAGCTATATGTTCTTTGACACGGGTACAAATACTTCGCCTTGTTTGTCCAATATAAGAGATACCGCACTCACAGTCAAGCTTGTAAACTCCTGCATCCTGTATATTTGTTTTTTATGCGTATATTTGTTTTTTCAAACGTCGGTTTGTTTGAAAAAACAAATATACGCGATTTAAATCCGGAAAAATAGTTTCATTTCCCATGTGTAACAATCGCGAAAACCTAAGAACTCATCTATATTTATATTACATATTACGGTGGGTGAAGGAAATCATCAAAGATTTTATTATATATTATATTTAACCTGAAATAACTACATTTCAAGAACTTACTAAAATGCAAAAAGGGAAAGGTAACAGAGTCGAACCTGGTAACGTTAAGTAAACCGGAATAGACGTTAAAACAAATGCAATTAGGATGTTTTTGAATCAACAGTATTGCCTGACAATGTTGATGCACGCTTGAATACGTGTTTAGCATACGACTGACGTATACGTATACCTAACACGTATCGGAATGCTCTCCAGTATAATCTCTATTGTTTTAGAACGCGCTATTGTTTTCAATGTCTCTGTATTTACCTGTCTGGAATTCATTAAGATGATCCACCATACTGACCTGTTCTGCCCTCCTAATCGGCTTTTTTTAAATAATAAGTTATTTACTTAAACAAATTCAGTGTAATTGAATTAGTAGCAGTAGAATTGATTTAGTAGCTGTAGATCTCCTTGTCAAAGAGTTCGTCCAGGGAAGTACTGCCACCTTATCTATTTCTGCCGCCAAGCAGTAGAGAGCATGGGATCATTTCGGTTCTGAAGGGCAAGGGGTCCTGTGAAATTACTAATGTCTCAGGGTGACGGGCGCAATGGCAGCGTCAAATGAGCTCAGGAATAATATTAAACGTGAAATTGTCAACTTTCGGCCGATATGTGTCGAAGAAAATTGGCTCCAAAGAATCGAACGCTGCAAACGTGCTCGCGATGGCCATGTAAACGAGATCGAATTCATTCTTAAACGTAACATTGTTTTTTATAATATTAAGTGACGGGACGAACAAGTCGTGCGCCTGAATGTAAGTTACACACCTGTCTAAAACAGATGCAGTGCCACTCAGAGCTTTAAATCGAAAAGATCTGAGGGGCACTGCCACTGCACCCGTTACCCGGAGACTTAAGTTGACAAATCCCATGTGCCTGTAATTTCACCACCACCATTACCCTTCAAAACCGGAACACAGTAATGCTAACATTACTGCTTGGCGGTAGAAATGTGTACTGTACAAGGAATAAATTTGAGATCGATATTTCAATCTGTGTTTTATTGAAATACAAAATCATTGGTTTTTCAATTGGGCCATTGCTATGTCCCAATTGAAAAACCCGATATTATGCATACGTTAGAAATCTGTAAAGATCAATGGCGAAATTATTGTTAAACGAATTCTTTACCGTCTTCAAATGTCATAATTCCAAATTCATTTGAATAAAATAAATTCATTCGATTTTTCAAATTTTACTAAAAGCCTGTCTAAATCTGGATAAAATCGTATTTATATGAAACTCAAATGACTAAATGTAACTGGATTGATATCTACAACCAGTCAGGGTCTGAGTGTCGTATTCTAGAACTCTACTCAATGCTCAAGTCAGGATTTGAGCAGACTTGAGTATGATTTCAAGCACTGGAAATACAACCCTAATGGTAAGGACTTGACTATGATTTCTAGTGCTTTGAATCATACTCAAGTCCTGACTTGAGCATTGAGTACAGTTCTAGATGTCGCTCAAAAGGAACGACCCTTAGTTTCTTAACGTTGAGCGACATCTAACTGCCAAAAAGAGATTTTCAGTACCTACGTAGAGATTGGTCCACATTAAGCTAGTTCAAGTAATATCAAACGAACTGATTCGACAGATTTGCAATAAGAGATTAACTACTTTATTACATAATCTCAGTACAGAGTACTAAAAAAACCGACCTCAAAAGTACTTGGAATTACGTCTATTTGCTAAGTTTCATTGAAATATCCCCTAGTTCGCCACTATGCAGGACTTGATACTGGAGATAATAAAAATAGGTTCTCACTACGACACTACTCAAAGTATATCGAGAGAAAAATGCCTTGAATTGGAGAAATAGCAAAATCAACTAAATAATTGCTAAAAGTAATTGCTCCTAAATTAAAGTTAGGCGCTATTTATAAAAATGAATCTTCATGCGTGAACAGCCACCCTTTGAGGTGGATGATTTTCTTCAAAATGAAATGGGACCACTATAGAAGTACCCCCTTTCCAACAAAAAAAGTGCCATAAAAAGAATGTGCCTGAATTAGTTACCAAGGCATCATTGACTCAGTTTTTTTTGTTATGGCTTAACTTCCTGCATTTGGACCATACAATAAAAAAATATTTTCCTCTGAACGTTATATAATACTTCTGTAGTTTATTTTGATATAATAATAAATCTATATTTTTACATATTTTTCATTAACAGACGCATACAAATTATATAGAGTTCTTAGGTTTTCGCGATTGTTACACATAGGAAATGAAACTATTAAAAAAAAACAAATATACGCGATTTAAATCCGGAAAAATAGTTTCATTTCCTATACATCCAAATTATGTCATCAAAATTTATATGGGAGTTCGCCATTGTTGTTTGTTCGCAAAAAAAAATCTTTTTTCTCAAAATAACGGGTTGTAATGTAGCATATTCCCGGGGTGCGGTCGAACAAGCACACTATTATGTACCTACAGGAATTTATCCAAGATTCTAAAACTATTCTTCTTTAGTTCTCAGCTTTCTTTTTATTTCTGCGGGTAGAATCTACTTAATATCTACCCTCGTTGGTTCATTTTTTCTTCTGCTGGTGTTGGCTTGGCCGACCATGGAGTGAGGTTGCTTTCATAACCGATTAGTGAAAAAAAAAAAGAAGTCCTATGTATAAAATTTATTCTTATTTTATTATTATTACTAATAATAATAATATTATTATTTTATTTACTCTTTGTACGGTTTTAAATCTTTTCATTAACCAACTAGTAAGAAAAAGAGGTTCTATATTTTTTTTACTTTGTATGGTTTTAAATGTTTTGTCTGTGCTGTTGTCAGTTTCCGGCTTTTTTTCGTTTTCTCCTAACGTTCCGTTGTATTCCTTGCTATTTATTCTTCTGTTCAGTTTTTCTTCCTTTCTACGGTAGTCTGAGTGTAAGTTCAGTCTTTTCCTCACTTTTTGTAGTTGTTCCGTAGCCGGTCTCCCTGTGATGGTTCTGTTGTGTACACCGAATTCGGTTCTAATATCTCTTGTTGTACTGTTGGCAGTTTTTGTTCTATGTGGTTACCTTCATTCTTTAACCACTTTTAACTAAAACCCATTTTCTTTAATCATTCCTAGTATCATAAATTTTGCTGCCGGCTTGTAAAACACTTGGTGTTTTATTTTTTTACCCTCTTTGTCTATTTCTATTACTTTGCATTTTTCTATGTTTCTTCTGGAGCCGTCTGCGAGTAATACCGCACCAACTTTATTCCTTATTTCCTTTCCTTTATTTTCGCAGTACGTGAATATTTCTCTATTTATGTATGTATTAGTAGAACCCGTGTCCACTAACGCTCGGTATCTCTTCCCGTATATTGTCACTTCTGTAAATATTCTATTGTCTTTCTGTTTCGTAGTTTTTACGGTGCACGCTCTTTTTACTTCTTATATTTCTTCACACGCTCCGGTATTTATTTAAAACGATTGGGACATTTTACTTTTAAATTATTCGGTATTTTATTTTCAATTTACCCTACTTTACTTTGGTGTTTTCTAGTTTCTAGTTGAAATAAATATTTAAAAAGTGCCAGTAATATAGAATTACCTCTAGAAACTACTCGACACTGTGGGTTATTAAGTTGGGCGCCAGATGTAATGTAGCATATTCCTGGGGTGCGGTCGGGACAAGCGCATTATTATTTACCTACATGAATTTATCCATAGTTCTAAAACTAACGCAGGAAACCAACACCAAGTTTTAACATTGATCGATTTACAATAATAATAAATACACCTCTTAAGTATACTAGAAAAACATGAACCACGCGGGGTTACTACCCTAACTAATCTAATGACGGCGGTGAACTAAAGGTAGGTTTACGGGATTGAAGGGTGAACAATTCGCACGGCCTGTACACACCTTGGTCAGGCGCAGCAATTGTTTCTCCAACACAGGAGGTGGACAGGGGCAGGAGGGTATGCAGGGGGTTAAGGGTGAGCGATTCGCACGGCCTGAACACACTTTGGTCACGCGCAGCAATCACTGCCCAACCCAGGAGACGGACGAGGGAAGATAGTCCCTACGGGGGGCGGAAGATGAGCAATTCGCACGGCCTGGGCACACCTTGGTCACGCGCTGCAATTACTCGTCAACAGCCCCTCACCCGGTGGAGGTTCTTACCGTAGCAGGCTCCCCCAACGAGCTCCCCTTTTATAGTCTCGTCTCCGCTCACGGTGCGCGTCGCGCGCGCGCCTCTCGCCCGCTGCGCCGTCGCATGCGCTGCTCGCGCCGACCTAGGTCAGCGGAACTTTCCATGACGCACGATCAGCCGGCGCTGTGGCGAGTCGCGCCCGGTGCGACGCGTCACAGGGTCAGCTCTGCTGAACTCTGAGCTTACAGTCAAGATACTCGTATTAATATAATAAAATTTCTAATATAATAAACCGTAGAAGTTATTGAGTAACTAGGTACTGCGTTAAAAAATTACTACACTATAGACATTGCAAGAATCTACAGGTATTTTATAAAACAAAATGTCTCAGTTAAACTTCAAAGCAATTTTATTAGAGTATATAATTATTTTAATTTTTTTATTTTATCTAAAATAGTCTAAATGCGTTTGTTTCACTATTTTTGTTTTTTTTTTCCTGCAATTTATAGATTATTTATATTGTTTCTAACATTTTAGCATACTTCATATATAGTAGTTGGCTTAATAGTATATATAATATTCCCATGTAAAATTGTAACGTACGTATGGTAGCAAATATTTTTACTTTGACTTTGGAGAATAAGTACTCAAATAAATGTTTTTTCTTTTTCAGCTTGAAAGAGAGGCGAGGTTGCTGCACCCTCCAAAGTCACCTAACACGTCACATTCAAACAACTCCACTTTGGAAACTAAACATGGAAAAGGAGGAATAAAAAAAATCATCACAGACAAAATTGCCTCAACAACAACACTAGAGAGAAATAAAAAAGAGAAAAAAGACGGACAACCCACTACACTAGAGCGAGAAAACGAAAAGAACATCAAACTTGCAAACCGTGCCAGACATTCGGAAGTACCACCAGTAAGTTCTATTTTGAACCAACCTGAACGAACTAGAGTGAGACATTCAACTGGTAACGACGTTCATGTGACGCAGACGGAAAATGGGGGAGCTCATATAGAGCAATATGAAATACAAAAGAGAGAAAACGATCCTAAACGTGGTATGAAGTTTGGTATAAGAGTCCTTCCACCTAACGTTCCCGATGATGGAGTGCTAAGACAGAAAAGTATCGAAAATGGGTCAGTAACTATCGAAAAGAAAGCAGTAGATGAGATTGATAAAGGACAACAACCTTTAGCTCAACCTTTACCTACTACCCAAGTGAAACATGAAAATGAGACAGAAAATAAGAAACCAGTCGTTGCCAAAAGGAGAGAAAAAATGGCACCTCCAATACCCAATGCAAGACTTAAACACAACGACACAAACTCAAGTCTTGATGCGTCAAAAACGTCTTCAACTTCACTTACTACATTTGCTAGAAATGATTTGAATTCAAGTGGCATTAAAAGGGATGAGAATGGGATACCTCAGGAGTTGCCCCAACATATGTTGGAAGCAGCTATAGCAGCGAGAGTAAATAGAAGAAGCTCTGAATTAATGGTCGACAAAGACAAAGTAGAGAAAGCAGATCATAAGAAAGAAGAAGTTCCTAAACAGAGCAAAAAATCTAAAGGCAAAGCGCCTTCACCGCCAGCGCGAGAGAAAAATAAAACAGATGACAGTATGTTGGAACAATTGAAGAATGTTAATGACTTTTTGAAAAGTGAGAAGCACCATTCCAGTGTTTTACATGATTCGGAAGTAAGTACTCCAACCAAGGCAACCACATCGACTACGTTTACGACTTTCAATACATCGACACCAAAAGCCCATAAAATTAAAACCGTTCCACCTTTGGATGGTTCAATCAACTTCAGTCAAGACGACATTGATGATATTGTTTCTAAACCTTTTAGAAAAGAGAGTGATTCTCTGAATAACTACTTTGAAGATTCTAAGTCTAACATGTCGTCTAACCAAGATGTTCATTCTGTTGTGTCATTTAATAATAGCGACAAGAGTGAAAAGGGTTCTACGACGATTGAATTGAACAATAGCGATATAACTATACATAGTTCTCCTTTGCATGATACAATGCGTTCCGCTTCTGATGATACCTCCACGTTGGATGAGAACGAGCGGAAAGCTGCTTCTCTTGGAGATCTTTCAAGATTTGAGCTGAGAGTCAAAAACAATAAACCATCTACAGGCACTCTTGAAAGGGCGCAGAGCCTTGATATTTCTGCAGATGATGATGGTGGAACTACTTTATCGCCCAAGAAAAGAAAAGCAATTTCAGTTGCTGAAACTACTTTCTTTGATGTAGGGACCCAAGACACTTTGCCTGATATGGTCGATTCAGAAAAAGGAGTCACCATTATACATAAAGAACCGAGGCTTAGCCTGAATATTGCTAAGACTTCTGCTATAGAAGGACTGAACACTTTCCAGAGAAATCGTTTGAAAAAAGGTTCTGAATTTGGGAACCTTGAAGATGCTATTGTCAAAGGCTCTGACAGTTCTTTAAACTCCGAAAAAAATGACACTCTTGAATCCCCGAGAAAGAAAACGAAAACGGATTTGGATAAAGAAGAGCCTCACGAAACGTCAGATCACCTGGCAAAAAGGATTATGGATGAAAACATGAAAGTTCACCTAAAACTAGTTTCAGAATTTGCCAAGTCAACTTCAGATGGAAGTAACATGAGTTCGTTAGAAAGTACTCAAGAAATGGCTCCTTCTACGTCAATTGAAACATCTCCTATAAAGTATGAGGAAAAACTCAGTTTGTCATACGACACTAACATACCAGATGACCTGAAAGTTTCGCGTAATACTCATTTAAATAGTTTAGAAAGACCGAAATCGGAAATGATGAAAAAGCTTCTCGCGAAAAATCCTATTTTGAATGTGCATATAGATCAAAACGTACAAAAGGATGATGCGACCACTAGTAAAGACACACCAACGCCAATGACAGATTCATTAAAGTCAGCAATGCATCAACCTGACATTGTTAATTTTGACTTAAAAAGTTCAGAACCAAAACAGAGAGATTACGATGAATATGTGAGTAATATTAGAGTAGGCTCAAACAACAACAGTTTAAAGTACGACAAACCTCAAACGTTTTCAACAAAGTGGAAGGAGCCAAAAGAAAGCCATGGCAATAACATTGTTACTATTTCAACAACAGAAAAAAGTACACCTGAAGACAAAAAGAAGTCATACACAAAGTCTATAGAGATCGGTGAACCGAAAATGAGATTGATACCTGATGTAATAGAAGGAATACAAAGAAGAAGCGATGAAAGGGAAGGAACTACTCTATACATGGAACCAGGGAATGTATCTTTAACAATGACTCAAGAACCCGTACATAAAAAGACAGTTACAGTAAACGTTATTGAAGATGAATATGGAAACAAAGTAATCACACAAAATATTGAGAAGGTTTCTACTAAATACATGGCAGCAAACACTGAAGTTCCTTTACAAGTAGAACAAATAACTTTTGGTATAATGAAGAAACCTGGTGAGATTGATGAAATTAAATTAGAAGAAGGTGATGATAAAGACATTGATAGGAAGGTTTTGGAAGAAATTAAAAAACAGAATCCCAATATGCATATTACTAATGAAGAGCCAGCCTTTACACGTACTGAAACAATTATTTTAAACACTGAACTTGATGAAGAACAAGCAACAGCATTGATGGAAAAGTTAAAGAATGATCCCAGCTTTATGGCACAAAAAACACCAGAAGAACTATCGCAAATGGGCATTAAAATCATTCATGACTTGGAAGATTTGCAAAAGAAAAGTCACGATACTGTAGAAGTAACAAAAACGCGATATACAATTAACCCTTCCGTGGTTTTAACAGATAAATGTATTAAAGAAAGTCAGAAAGATTCTGAAGCACATAAAGATCATATTACAGAAATTCAAGTTGTGACACCGCGAACTGAGAAAGTGATGAAACAAAAATCTGATGACAAAATCTCGTATCGACAAAGAGCACCGTCTTACGAAGAACCCCCTCTAAGTTACGAATTGGACGTCGAATTACTAAACGACTTTATTTCAAACGAACGACACCACTCTGCTAAGCAACTAGCGGAAGTGAATAAACGAAAATCGAGCCAGACGTTTAACGAACCAAAGAAACGACATTCAGATTTCGACCTACCAAGAAATAGTCATATAAAATTCAGAACAGCGACTTACGAACCTCCTAAAGGCACAATTGTAACCAGCACTGACCTTGAAAACCGAAGGCTATCGCAATTGGATCAGATACAACTACGGTCTGGTAATGACCAGTTAATATCGAGCCAAAAACCTTTGATTTCGGCAAAACCAAGTAGTATACCTGTAAAAGCCGAGAAAGTAAAATCGAACCAACCCGGAGTTTCGTCGAAAATACCAATTTTCAGTCAAAAATCGTTGTCACAGGAGAATTTGACAGAGAAACAGTTTTCTTTGCCCAGATCGCCGCCGCCGCAACTGAGTAGCAGCACAAGTAATATATCTGTTACTTCGATTAAAAGTAACTCTAGAAGCCCTAGCGGTGGTAGAGTGTAATATTTCTTTTATAGCTGACCACACATGTATATGAAGATATATATATATATATATATATATTTGTAAATAGAAATAATTTCTTAGATTTCAATTGATTCTGCGGATATAATTGCTCAAACATACATTTCATCACATTGTTATTTCGTCGAAAATATTAGACAGTTTTTTGATTTTTAAATGTGTGGTCTTTTGTAGTTCGAATATTTTTACGAAAATGTATGGTTCAAAATTTTGTTTTTTTTAGTCTAGAATTATTTTGAAAGTTTTTGTTATAATGAAAATTTTTGGAATTGTACTTAAAAGTAGTGAATGTGTTGAGGTCTTTTATACTTGGTGATAATATTGTAGATTATCACAAAAATAGGTATCACTAATTAAATTTTTCATGATGATACATCTTATGCGGGCTTATATGAATTGCACGCAGTTAAGCAAAAAGGATCCAATCCACAAAATTATCAAAAAATTCGTTATAATGTACCAAACGGTTCCTACAGTCTAACCTCTTAGATCAGCAAATAATAACCAACATATATAAATAAATATCACTGGAGTTCCTTGACATTATAAGTTTTGAAAATAAGACAAAAAAGAGAAACACTTAAACTTCAAACTACCATAATATCTCGAAAGTTTCTGGATGTGCATTGGATCCGTTTTGTTTAACTACGTCCAATTGTTTTGAAGAATACGTATCGAAACCAATTGCTAGAAGAACGCTAAGTATATAGGTTACATGAAAAACAAAATTGTATGAATTTCATAATGTACAATCTTACGATTGTTCATCATCGACTGTTCGTATACTGTCCTCCTTATCATAACTTGCGTAATCGATACTTTAGCAAAATTGAGTTTATTAACATATTTGGAATCAGATATGTTAGCCTCTAATCGTTTATTTATATCTGCGAAATTGACATTTTTTATAGAAAAATAATCTCGGTACAGAGTATTAAAAAAACCGACCTCAAAAGTAAGTGGAATTACGTCTATTTGATAAGCTTTATTGAAATATCCTCAAATTCGGCACTATACAGGATTTGGCGCTGGAGATAATAAAAATCGGTTCTCACTACTCAAAGTATATTGAGAGAAAAACGCCTTGAATTGGAGAAATAGCAAAATCAACCATTAAAATAATTGCTCCTTAAGTAAAATTTAGGCGCTATTTATAAAAATGAATCTTCATGCGTGAACAGCCACCCTTACAGGTAGATGATTTTCTTCAAAATGAAATGGGACCACTATAGAAGTACCCCCTTTCTAACAAAAAAAGAATCATGAAAATCGGTTCACAAATACCGGAGTTATCGCGTAACATACATACGAAAAGAAAAAAACAGTTGAATTGAGAACCTCCTCCTTTTAGGAAGTCGGTTTAAAAGTTAGGTGTCAATATTTCGAAAGTTTGCAAAAAGCAAATTTATTAGTTATGACAAGGAGGGCAGAATAATTAACAAGTGAAAGAGAGTTTAATGTGAAAAGTTTGTGTTGTAGCTGCTAGAAAAGTAATATAAAATTAGGAGCTTGCTTATATAATGTACGGTACCGACGTGTACTCAACCATCAAGCTTATATACTATTGTTCGCATATTGCCTCTAGAGCAACAAAACAAGATCCGTTAATGTTTAGCTTGATATGCTGCCGTCCGTACATCCCACTGCTGAATGGGTCTCCAACATGCTGACCCTGTGATACCTATGGATTATCCTATCTTTGATTTATAATGTCTGCATTAGCAAGCATCTATTATTTTCAGAGTTTATAAAACTTTCATGAGTCAGTAAATTTCCATTTTGCTCTTTTAGTTTATTGTCCGTACTATATCTAAAAATTTGTTAACAGTATACATAATTAAATACTACATTTAAGAATTGTATTAAATAGTTTAAGGTTTATATAATGTAACAAAAATGTGCCTTTAATATTAATAAAAATAAAATTAATAGAATATAAAATTATATTAATTGTACTTTCTATAATTATCAATATTTTATAATCATGAAATAAAATCTATATACATAATAATAATGATTCGCTTTTGGGTTGTGAAGATAAATAGATATTATCGTATTTTTTGTAATAATTATCTTGTCACAATATTGTGGAAAATATTTTTATTGAGCAATCAATATTTTAATAATAAATATTTTCAAGTAAAAGTTTACTAGGGGTATAAAAAGTACTATTATATTTTTGAGTCTAATATAAAAAAGAAAGAGTTCATGGCGGTTGAGCGGTATAGAAACTCATTCCGTCCCAAAAAAGTTTTAAAACTTTTATCATTCAGAAACAAACAATGATAGGGTTACATAAGGGTGGTATTTGCAGAAATACACGAATATTTCTGAGCCATTTATACATTATATAAAAAATATAGAATAGTCATATATTTATTAACCATTTTTTTGCAATAAATAAATGAAGTATACTTTATTAAAGTATTTTATTTTATTTACTATTATAACACGATTATATTAACATACACTAAAGCCATACTTAAACGTGAATGAGCGTAACTAAATAGTAGATTTCTTTATATCCACTACATAAAAAATATTTTAAAATCATATTTTTCACCTTACTAACTCGGAAAGGCTTTCTTTCTGCGTGCCTTATTACAGCGTAACAATGATAAGAGTTTTTGAAATTTGACTAGCGAAAAAATAAGTCGCTATTTAGTCGGTTCTAGTCGCAAAAAGCTAGATTTAGTCGGTCCGACGTTCAAAAGTTATAAGAGTGTTTTACTGTCCACACTGGAATAAGCTTATTCCAGCGGCACTATTTCTCAATCTCGAGAACCACAGCTCCTAGCTTAGATCTGATTGCACCCAGAAAAGGTCGTGAATTAGTCGGTTCTAGTTAGTAGTAGAAATTTTAGAATTAGTCGCCCCTTTGTTTAAAAGATACAACCGGTTTATTATTTTAAGGTTATACCTATGTTAGTCTCGGAGCTCACGTACAAATTTTGCATAATATACAGAATTTATTTATTTTTTTGAAATATATACTATTTGAAGATTTTAATAATGTTTAGTTTTTAATACAATGAAGTTAGCAAAAAAATATACAGTTTTTTTTTCCTTAATGGCATTAGGATTTATAGATTGTCATGATATTTATATGATGGTCAAAACGGCGTAACGACTAAATCTAGTTTTTACGACTAGAACCGACTAAATCACGACTTGTATGTAATCAGATCTAAGCTAAGTGTTGTGGTTCTCGAGATTGAGAAATGGTGCCGCTGGATAAGCTTATTCCGGCGTGGACAGTCAAACATCCTTATAACTACAAACAAATACATGCGATTTAAATCCGGAAAAATAGTTTCATTTCCTATGTGTAACAATCGCGAAAACCTAAGAACTCGACCCTTATAACTTTTGAACGGCGGGAGCTGACCGACTAAATCTAGTTTTTTGCGGCAGAACTGACTAAATAGCGAGTTTTTTTCTAGGCTAGTCATATTGCCAAAACTCGACTATGGTCACACTGGAGTAAGATACACTTTCTTTCTCATTAGGAATCTGCGCGCAAAGCGTCTTTTCCACGCTAGCGTGGAAAAAACTTGTCGATGCACTGTGGTGCTTTTTGTTGTAGTTCAACTGCTTTTCCATTTTCCTCGCTATGAAAAGTTGTGTGTTTCGCTTGACAGCAACTTGTTTTGCGTCTCGTGCCTTGAAATCTTCGCTTCGCTCTGGATTTTATTTTTGAACCACGAGGGAAGCGAGCAATCTTAGAATCATTCGCTTGCTTAGGTTTCAATGCAAGCACTCGCGTCAAACAACAACTCTGCAGCGTTACATAACAGATAACTATTACCTTTTTGTTAAAATCATAAGAATTGTCGTTAATAAAAACGAAATGATTAAATGACGAAATAATTAAAATGATTTTCATTTTCATGTTATTTTCGTAGGAAGATTGTTATAGAGTGACTCAGTGGCTACAAGGAGGCAGCAATTTTATATAAGTGTTGTACACTATTATTTACTATGTATAGCCACCCCCCGGACACTCCGTACAACGGTCGAAAGTTATTTACCTACTGCTACTACACACAGCAAGGCGCTGTCTGCAAACGCGCAAATGTGTGCGTGAAGTGGCAGAGTTACCCAGTTACCCACCACTTTCTCGTACGTAGTCAGAGCGACAACATAGCGAAAATTCTGCGAATCTGTTATCTATAATAAAATTCTATTATAGAATCCTAACAATTACACATGTTCATTAGGTATTTACATCAATTATATTTTTCATTAATAATTCACTACTAGAATAATCCTGCAGCTTTATTTAAAAAAAAACTTAAATGCACCTAACATTTTATATTTTGGACAGGTTCTAAATAAGGTAACCAAGGTATTTAAAATTGCGTGTCCAACTTTATCGTTACTTAGTTAATAATTATATTCACTACATATTTATCGGCAATACAAATTGAAAATCCGAGAACCCTTGTCTACAATATTACATCTCATTACATTGATATAATAAAACTGTATTATATGTAAGTATATTAGTGTGCACTGAGCAAATGAAGAAAACAATAACTGAATGAGTCTCAGACATAAGTTTTTTTATTTACCTCGTTTCATCTTTCGGACAACGAAAGAAACTCCTCTCTTTATCCCGTTTAGATTTTGATGAACATCCGTACACAGCACAATTCACAACCAGTATAAATAGTAACGTACAATGATGTTATATATTAACGTACAAATTTTGTAATGAATAAATGAAAACTATATTCAAATATCAAAACCGTCTTAGCGCGAAAACGGCTTGCCGACAGCCTTGTTGTCGGCTTGTCGACAGTCAATGTGACTGTCAATGTGCGGGGCGTGGTGCGGTATCTAAAGCTAAGGAGCTATGTGTCCATACTAGTTATTTTATTGTTCTCTGGTATAGCACCTTCTGGAGCCATACTAGCATAATATAATAAGACAAGTATGGTAACTCCATAAAAACGTAGCAGCGCGGTTTGTATGTGTGCACGCCTGCCGCGCGCTGTGTACAGAATCACACATTAGCATAATCTCACGGTGCACTCGCATTGCATAG